AGGGCCGCCACAGCTGCCCCGCCGCTTTGCACAAATCAAAACAGGGACTTGTCGCTGGAAAGGAAGAATGCATCGCCAAGTCCTGGGACCGGCTGCTTGTTTCCCTCCGAGCGGAGATTGCTCTCATCGAAGTCACAAAAGTCTGACATTATTCCCCCCCATCGACTTTGCGGGCCTCGAGGACCGTGATAAAGTCACAGAATTTTCGGCCAAGCTGAAGAAGCGAGGCGCTGCAGTCATTCGCAAGGTTGTTCCTTCGGAGGATGTCATGGAGTGGAAAGAGGAGACCGACGGCTACCTGGCTAGCAATCCCGGCACCAAGGCCTGGCCAACTCGAGACCCTCACCTCATGGGCATATATTGGACGCCCGCTCAGATCAAAGGACGCGGACATCCCAATGTCCTGGCGGCACAGAAATTCCTCATGAGCCTCTGGCACTCAACCGATGCGGAAGCACAGGTCAGCAATAATTTCCCGGTATCGTACGCAGATCGTCTGCGCATCAACACGCCTGGCGAGTCCAACTGGCATCTCAACGCCCACGTCGACGGCGGCAGCGTCGAACGCTGGGAGCCGGACGGTTACGGCCGCGCCGGCACCTACCGCGCCATCTGGGATGGTCGCTGGGAGGACTACGATCCCTGGGAGAGCAGCTCGCGTCTCAAGGTCACGTCCGACCTCTACAACGGCGCCGGCTCCTGCAGCATGTTTCGCATGTTCCAGGGGTGGCTGTCCATGGCCTCCATCGACCCATCAGAGGGCACCCTGCTGCTCTGTCCCCATGCTCCAGCTCGCGACCGCCTACTTTCTCCTCCGTCCCTTCTTTTCGCCCCCGCGTCCCCCGCCTCCGCGTCGCCTTCGACCGCCGCCTTTCTGGCCTCCGATAACTGGGCCCTCGACTTCTCACAGACCTCCATCCTCCAGGGCGCCGTCCCGTCCTACACCCAGGAGCTCAACAATGTCCTCCACCCCCACCTCCACCTCGACAAGTCCCTCGTTCGCGTCCCTCGCGTCGAACCCGGCGACTACATCGCCTGGCATCCCGACATGGTCTACGGCGGCGACAAGGTCTCCCCGGTCACGGCCCCGGCCACCATCATGTACATCCCCGCCTGTCCCCTGACGCAGACGAATGCCCTGTACCTCGCGCGGCAGCGCAAGACGTTCCTCCTGGGCCGGCCGAGTCCGGACTTTGGCGGTGGCATCGGCGAGGCCACGCACGTTGGCCGGCCTGGCACGCAGGAGGTCAACGACGCCGGCGGCGACGAGGCCCTGCGCGCCATGGGACTGCTTCCCTGGGAGGAAGATGATGCGTCGGGGCAGCACGAGGTGCAGCTCCTCCGCATGGCGAACGGGATCCTGTTCCCGGACCGCTACGACATGATGGTTTGACGAGTCGAGACTTGGAGCGTGGGCACAACTGGATATGAATGCGATTGATCGCTAGCTAGGCGTTGGGGCTCTTCACTCGTTTGGACGATACCTTTTGCGTAGGGACTCTTTTGTTTCTTCCCACAGTTGACGTTATCTTTTGCGCGGGACCGGGTGGATAGGTATAACAGCGGGACGGATACCGGAAAAGCACAGTAGCAAGACCGGTCGAACGTTTATGGAACATTGAGTACACAGGACAAGATCTAGTGAGACTAGTGAACAGTCGTCATAATAATTCAAAAGCGAGTCTGCCTAACGAGGCTCGCTCGCTTGCTGCTTTTGACACCGGCTAGCCTGCAAAGCACCGGAGAACAGCTATAAACCCCATGGTCCGACGCCTACGCTTTCGTTTCCCGAGTTCGTTGTGTGTGCGTGCGCTTTCAAGTCCCGTTTTTTTTTTCTCTTCCCAATGGGTAGTACCCGTACATTGAGTTTTCGTCACCTTAGTCAAACTTCTTGTCGACGGGCTCGCCAGTGGCGGCAGCGTACTTGTCGCTGAGCTCATCGTACGCCTTGTGCAGCTGGGTAGACTGCTTCTTGAGGTTCTCGAGGTCCTGGGTCTTGACGTCAAGCTCCTTGCGCAGCTTGGCAATCTCGCCGGGCTTGCCGCTGACGGCGAGCTTCTCCGACTCCTTGGTGTTGGAGTTGGTGCCCTCGTAGCTCTTGACGCGGTCCTCGAGACGCATGACTTCCAGGATCATAACATAAGTGCGGTTGAGGATGAGGGAGAGGAAGAGGGTGAAGCCGCAGAGGTACATGTTGCGCTGCGAGTAGAATTTGCGGGCCTGGACCTCGAGACGCTCGTGGCCCATGACGGCGGCGCTGTGGGCGGGATGGTCAGTGGATCGGTACAGATGCAAACATGGGGCTTGGGCTTATGGAAGCATGAAGAGAGAGTGAGCTACGTACCCATTGTTCTGCTTCTCGGTGGCGATGGCCAATTCGACCTGGACCCTGTAGACGCGGTTGACGCTGTCGATGAACAGGATGAGGATGAAGACGAATGTGATCTTCATCCAGTATTGTATCTTTGCTACAATGGGGCTCTCAGAGATGAAGCTGCGCATGATAAGGTCAGCTCGTGTGCTCAAGCAGACAGCTGGGGAGCCCGAGGATCGGACGTGGGCCGACCAAGACGAAGGACTGGCAGAAACCTACGTGAAGAGCTTCCTCTTGATGGTGAAAGGAAGAGGAATGATGAGGAGCATGAACAGGGTCATCTCCAGCATCAACAGCACGAATACCTGTGAAGTTCGCGGTCAGCCGCGTGATCTTGACGTGGGCTCAGAGTTTTGCCATGCGACATGTGACACGCTTCGAGGCAACGTACGAGAGTGTAGTAGAGCGTCATCTTGGCTGTTGGTTGTGATTGTAGTTACTGAGTGGTTGGGATGGGCTGCGTCCTGATAGACTGATGGGTTGTCCAAGATCTGAATTGCGGTAGGTGGCTGCAGGAGAGAGAAGGGACGAGATTGGGCAGAGCGGGCTTTTGTAGGAGACGTGACGATGATGTGGTTTCAATCCCGGCAGAGGTGGCAGGAGCTGAAGACGGACAAGGGTGGGGTGAACAGACGTAAGTCAACAACGTCATTGTGGCTGGTGCAAGCTTGCTTGGTGTGGCTAACGCCCGGATCGGGGTCGTGCTGAGGTCTGCATCAGAAGGACGCTCTGTCAGGTGGGGTTGAGCATAACATCCAGTCGCCTGTGCTGCACATGCTGCACATGTCTGAAAATTGTGTACATGTAGTGCAGGAACCCTGACGACAGAGTGAGAGCATTGTGCGGGGGACAGCCGCCGCTTGGTAGAATACGAGAGCGCCAGGCAATGCACTGCGTTTTCCTATTTCCGATTCGAAGCTTCGCAACCGTAAAACGACACTGAATCAAGTCAAGGGGTTCACATCCAGGCGACCCAAAGACTCGAGGAATCATACTACATTGGTATTCTTCAAAGAATCATGCCCCCAATCCTGCAACGCCCAGCTTTTCGGTCCAAGTAGACCAACAGTAAGAAATCCAAGCCCAGCATACACGAAGTCTGGTGAAATACACATGAAAAGGCCACTACGTGCCGAGTTTCCGTCTCTGTACACATTCATGACACACACAACCCTCCTAAGAGTAGAATTGGCTCTTCTGGAAGCTCTCCGCGCTGACATCGCCCACCTTGCTCTTCACTGGCTCTGGCACGCTCTCCACGGTGCTGGTCATGGTGCTCGTCCTACTGCTCTCGCTCGCCGCTGCCTTGATAGCTGCAACCGGCTGCCCGGGCCTCTTGATGACCTCGAGGTACGTAGCTGGGAGGTAGCCGGTGCGGCCATCACGAGCCCGGCAGCGCCACCACTCGCTGGGGTTGCCAATAGGGTCACTCTTGCTGAGCACAGCGACAAGCTCGCCCCGGCGCACTTCCATATCAACTCCCTGCACGGCATTGCCGGGCTGGGGAGTGAAGTCGTAAAGGGCTCGGCAGTAGTCAAGCTTGGACGGGTCAAGCTGTTGCTGTACAGCTTGCTCGCCCGCTGCAGCGAAGGCGCTTACGCTCCTCTTCCTCGGCCGTGGCAGCGAGGGAGTTGATCATCTTCCTCATGAGATACGGCAGGCCGAAGGCAGCGAGGACGAAGAAGAAGAGGGCTTGCGGCTGGCCTTTGGAGGTCCCAGAGGCGTGCCGTCTGGTCCAATCGGCTGGCGGCCCTCAAAGCGTGCGAAGGCGGCAGGCGTCAAGGACGTTGCGTCGGCCGGGGGTGGCCGGCCGGTAAGCTTCGCTAGAAGTGTGCGGATCCATCGCATCAGGGTGAAGATGCCGAGAATGGAGCCGAGAGTATCCTTGAGGTTACCGAATTGCTCGGCGACGGAAACCATGGCTGCAGTCGGATTAGCAATCGACCTTCCGCGCCCTTGAAAGAGCAGAAGCAACATACCAAAGAAGCTCGAGTGAGTCGCCATGTAAGTACTTTCCAGCATTTGTGCAAAGCCTCCAAAGGCCTGCACGATACCTTGCAGCATCTGGAAAGTTGCCTGGGTGCTGTTGTTGAACTGGTTCGTCAGGCTGTTGGGGTCATTCGGATTTTGGCCCATGCCAGGCATGCCGCCGTACATGCCACCTCCATACATGGAGCCGCCGTAGCCACCGTATCCTCCATACATGCTGCTGCCGTACATCCCTCCCATGGTTCCCCCATAGCCGCCGTAGCCACCCATTCTCGAGTACGAGTTGTAGCCGGCGCCGCCGCCGTATGTACCGTAAGGATTCGCCATGCCAGAGCTGTATGCTGCGGCGTTCTGGTTGACCGATGCTGCGAGAGAGGCCGGTCGCTGGGGGACAGCAGGCGCGTCTGCTGATGCTGTGGCGATCGCTGAGGAGCCTTGCGCCGGCGGGGTCGAGATGGAAGCGGCGGTAGTGGTGGGAAGCGTTGTCGGTCGCGCTGCTGTGATTGCGGTTGTTAGCACATCAGGCACCGAGAAGATGACATACACGGGCGGACATACCCGATGCAACGGTTGCTGCAGCGCCAGGTCGTTCCCAAGGCTTGGGTGGAGATGCCATAGTACGCTGAAGATGCTGAGGAATAAAGGTCGACTGGCGTCAGGAAGGCGTGCCCGCCTCGAAGACGAGTGACGAAGCCGAGGTGGCAAACGCTGGCTGTATGCCGAACTGCCGGCCGACGGCCAAAGGCGTAACGCGACGAGAAACCGGTTGCACAACGGTGCAGTGTCTGCCGCTATATGTACAAGGACAGTCGCGCAATGTCGTCCGGTCGGCCGTCGAGGGTTGATACGTGGTGATGGATTGTGAGGGGATGTTGGAAGAAATGAGAAGCTGCGTGAGGAAGCCAGCCGACAGCGAGCGACTCGGTTCGTGGGCGGCCGATTCGGGGGTGGAGCACTGGGGAAAACAGGCTCCTCTAGTCTCTGTTGGCTCATTCGAGCCAGTCTTGGCCTCTGCATGGGCGCGCATCTGATCACGCTTGAGTGGCACTTGCCTCGGCAAGACCAGTCACCCCGTACTTTCTCCGCCTCCCATGCCGTCCGCCCTCGGCTCGCTGACTCATCGTCCTCTGCACTGACAATGTGCAGTCGCCTGTGTTTCGCCGCGAGTGCGCTCTGACCACGGTCTTCCCCCTACTGAGACATGGAGAGACTTCATGTTCTTCATGGCTACCACAACCCACATAGGCGAAGCCTGTGCGCTGGCGGACTCTTTTGCAGTTGCAAAAGGATCTGATGCGGGTGATCCAGTCGTATCAAGACAAGGCATGTGGCTCAGTCACGGATGGTCCAAGAGGAGTACGCGACGTGCACGCTCCCATTACATGCTGAGAAAGTCAATCCCAAAGACCTTGAGAGAAGGCGCAATGGCTTCGCAAAAGCCCACGAGTCTGCCACCCTTAAAAGGGGTTGTAGAAAGCCAATGCTCAGACACAGCCATCTAGTAGATGTGCTAGCACCAGACAAAGAATACTGGACGGCACGTCATTCTCAAATCAGACGTTCATTTACCACGAGCTGCCATCTTCTCTCTTCCACGCATCCAACAAAGTCCAGTCTCTTCACCAGACTTGGCGCGAACCTGTAAGTATGTACTAATGTCAAATCTAGAATTGCAAACACCTTGCTCCCTGCTATTGTCGCGGCCTTAGCTAGCAAGCGAGAACAGACTGAAAAGACTATTGTCCTTCCCAGTCTGGATCCAGCTCTGGACCAGGTCCTCGCTGAGGCTGGTAGCAAAGTCAACGTTGTCACCCAGGATCTTGACGGAGACTTGACCGCTGGCGGCATCGAAGACAGTAGCGACGTTGATGAAGCCGTCCGTGGGACGCTTGAAGTAGTCGGACGATCCGCCGTTGACGTTGGTGTGGAAGGTGCTCTTGCACTTGGTGTCGCCGGAGGCGAGGACTTCGAGGATGTCAAATTCGCCGCAGTCGGTCTGACAGCAGGAGCAGTCGCCTATATTACTGGGTGCGGGGAATATTGACGTTGAAAGCCAGGCGGCGGACATGTCAGCGTTGAAGCCGCTGCTGCCATCGAAGGGCATGCTGAACCGCATCAGGAAGACCTTGGACTCGCCTCCGAAACCATCTGGCAACAGTTAGGACTCAAATCTGCACAGGATACAATGAAAAACATACGATAAGCAACAGAGCCAGGACGGACGTAGCCGCAGCTGCCATCGGTACAGGGCTTGTCCGAGTATATGGCGAATTCCTTGTTGGAGGGGATCAAGACCTTCTCGAGAATCTGAGGGGACGGGGAGCCACCGGTAGCTTTGGAGTTGATGTAGGAGAGCGAGTTGCCCCAAACACTATCATCTCTTGTCAGAAGAGCACGCTGCTAATTCGGGGCATCGCAGTACTCACTTGTCGAAAACTCCAGAGCCGTCGCCGCCGTAATTGCCAAGGAAGACCAGTCCATCGGCAACACCCTTGTCAGCGTCGTAGTGGGCAATGCGGGTATAGTCACCAGTGGCAACATTTTCCGGAGTGGACTTGGTAGGCGTGGGCCTAGGGGCCACGGAGGTGGTGGTAGGCTCCGGATACTCCTTCAAGGCCTGCGCCTGAACCTCAGGGGCTGCTGGCTTCTCCTCGGGGGCGGGCTTCTCCTCAGCGGCGGGCTCGGTGGACTAAACGAATTAGCCACGACCCATCGGCGGTCTTTTGTGTGTTTTTGACTCACAGGGACATCAGTGGCACCATGGTAGGTGTTGATCCAGGAGACAACCTGGCCATCAATGGTGGCCGTGATCCAGTCCTCGCCGCGCTTCTCCTGGGCGTGTTTCTTGTGCAGATGGTGATGGCCGTGGATGTGGCGGCGGGCGTGGATCTGAGACTGGGGGACACCAGCATCACGCTTCTGCTTCTTCTCGACGATGTTATAGACGCTGAGGCGGTCCAGCTCCAGGGGTCCGCGGAAAAGGAGAGCGAGCTGTTCGGTCAGCAAGTGGACGAGGCAAGGCAAGGATGAGTGTCAACTCGAATTTTAGGGTTGCCTTACCTCCTCGTTGAAAGGAGCAAGAGGGCCGGTGAAGGCCTTGTCTTCGAAGTTGCAAGAACCGTCGCTTCCCATATGAGACACAGCCTTGTAAGTGCCAGGGTGGCCGACGTTCGAATACAGGATTTGGTCAACGGCACCGCAGAACCAGTTGCCGCCCTCGTCCTTGGCGGAGCCGGTGCACTGCTGAAGGCCGGCGACCATGGCGGCCGAGCCGAGGGTCAGGAGAGCACTCGAGGTCTTCATGTTGTTTCCGTGTTGGGTGCAGCAAAGGAGTGTGTGGGTGTGTTATCCAAGGTGGTTGAGAGGAGAAGTTGTGTAATATTGAGGTCCAATATCGCCCTTCTTTCCGAGGCGGTGGCTGGGGTCCAGATACTCAACACTCGGTTTGGATGCCAGTGAATGCGTCAGGTAGAATGGTACGGCGTGGCAAAGCGTTGCACGAATACGAACCGAGAAGGACAGGCAGGCGATAGAGTCAAGAAGCTTGAAGGAGCGGATAGGGACAACAAGTCACCAAGAATAGACAACGAAGGATGCTAGACTGATGCGGCCTGGGAATCACCAGCTTGGCTGCGCAGACCGAGTCTGGAGAAAGGAGAGGGAGTCGACAGGGGCGGCGCGCGATGGAGGAGGGGGGGCCATGTCTATAGTTATGAAGACAGGCAAACCAACAGGCCTCATTCAGTCCACCCTCCATGAGAAAGCTTGGTATCTCCCCCTAGCTAACCCTTAAATTCATGCTCTGTGTGTTCCTTTCAGGTCTGTCTACTCTGTTGAAACGCCTAGGCAGCCAACGATGGGAATGGGGGCGAGGCGAAGCTGCAAGGGGCGGCGGGGCGACAAAGTACGATCATGACCAGGGGCAGGGGTGAAAGGCCAGCACAAGTTCAAGGCCCAGGTACGCGCTGCAGCCCCCATCGGCCCCCTCCCCTGACCCCAATGATCATCACGAGTGTAAAAACTACGGTGCCTGTCCATCAGGAAGAATGTTACCCAGGCAATGATATGCTCATCGGGCCCTTCAAGAGACAAATGGGTACCTTACAGCTGGCATCTCGGCAGGGGCGTCTGCAATCTCACATCAGTCCGCCGTGGCTGCATCCCCAAGGGCTTCAGTAAGATCATTCGCCGGCCCAGTCGGCGCCAAGGGGAGCCAAGTCCTTGAGTTTCGACTCGCCCGAAAGGAGGTCGTCCAACCAGTGCCAGCCGCTGCTGCTAGGCGGCTTGGGCTGGCTGGGCTCTCATCTCAAGCCAAATTGAGGTGCTGGCAATCGCCGTGGTCTAATCTGTTTATTGCCAAGCAACGTGCTGTTTTCAAAGGTCTAATCCCGAGGCTACCCCAAGGCTGGGGGGTACATGTGTATAAGTATAGGTGTATAGGTGTGATCGACAGCGCCAGAACGTTGGCTGCTCTGGTTCCCCGTCTGGGCATCTGCGTAGATCTTGGCTGCACTTCAGGTGAACCGCCAGAGACGGAAGGGATATTCAGGATCTCTGCTATCCGGGCAACCGCCTTCCCAGGACAGCTCGTCGTGCCGGGAGTCCAGCCCACTTGATGTGCAGCTTGATCCTCACCCAGCCACCAGATCGGCCCCCTTTCTTCACGGCGCACCAACTGGCATGCTCCCTCTCGTGGAATTCCCGGCACAGGCGCACGTGCTGTTGCTGGGGTTCATCCTATCTCGCTGTCCAAGGTCTGAGGTAACCTCATCCCACATTCCACCGCCAACGGGTGGCTCCCCCACTCACTGTCTGTCAATCACCTGAACACGATGTGAAGAAAGCTTGTGGCGCACAGCGCTTCCTCGGGCTCGTGCTCGTGGGTCACAATCCTACGGTAACGCTGTTGCTCGACGAGGTGAAATGCCGGCCGTCAGGGCTCCTCGTTGCCAATTGACAACGCCTCCACCTCTGGTTACGTCGTCTGGTACCCGCCGATCTGCTGTCGAGGATGCCGACTCCGAAGGGGGTATCGTCCGATAAACCCTCAATGGCTGTAAGTGAAACCCAAGCAGACGTCGCCCCGGATCCCAAGTGCCGCATTAGCCCCTCTTCGGCGCCCCTGTGTCTGTTCGTCGCCACGTGTTTGTGCTATGTACGAGAGATGGGGAAATTGGGATGACGAGTCGCTGTCAGAGAACAGACAGACCTGCAAGACACAAGGCGCCGCCATTGGCCTGGAGGGCTGGAATTTTGTCATCATTCGTTGACAGCTTTCGAACTAGCAAAAGTCGTCTACCATTTCACAGCTCACGTACAATCAGCGATCCGCCTTCGTCCTCTTGCCGCGACCCCTCGTCCGCGGCACCGCGGCCTCTGCCTCGTCATCATCCTCGCCTGTCCCCGGTTCCTCATCTACCAACGAGGTCCGTGTCGCTGCCCGAGCCGTTCGCTTCCGTTTGCTCCCACTCGATGCCGTCGGGGTATCCGTAGTTGGTGATGATTCTGAGACACTTGCGCCAGTGTTTCTCAGTTTGTTGACCGCTTCGGCCATGCGCTTACTTGCCTTTTGTTTTTGTCGTGGCGCGAACGACTCTTTGGCACCAGTCCCGACGCCACCTTCAAAATAGCGTGTGATGTTGCTCTGAGTGCCCTCCACGTCCCTCCGGTTCATGTCACGTATGACAGGCACCAGCACCTCGTCCGTACGCTCTTCGCTCCAGCCGATTGTGGCCATGAGGTACTGCCGCAGACCTTCCAAGTTTGGTACACCCCACTGGAATGTTTCGGGGCTGTCATCTACTTCAGGCTTCATGTAGGCTTCCCTTACCGCTGGGTTGGGGAATCCCACGGGCAAGAATAGCTTGGCCACCTGGCTCTTGCGGAACTTGCGCCGGAATGCGTTCGGCGCATCGTCTTCCTTTGGTCGGCGCTGTCCCTGCACATCCGCCCACCAGTGACAAAAGGCGGCCAGGCCGCCCTCCGACTCTGGAAACTCGGAGAGAATCTCAACTGCCGTGACAGGGCCCACGCCTGGTAAGCCATCCGTATAATCAGACCCAAGAAGCAGGGCAATTGACACTAGCTGCTCGCGTGACAGCGAAAGTTCCTTGTCAAGATCCGACGATAGGTAGCACTCAACAAGTTTGTTGCTGTTGAACATGTTCTTGTAAACGCGCGTGCCTCCAAAAAGGAATGTGTCGGAATCGTCTGTCACGATACCGTCCACCAGCCCAAGACGTACAAGCTCAGCACACTGAGCTTCAGCTTCCATCGGCGCCGTGATGTAGGGGATGCCGAAGAGCCGGAGCAGGGCCTGGCATTCGCCCACCATGACTTGCGTCACTTCGTCGGCATCTCGCCGATCTTTCTTCTGCTGCGTCCGTAGCGCCTTCAGCTCCCTCTCGTAAGCCTCGCGGTTTTCTTGCTCTGATTTGTGGTTGAGTTCGCTGGCGAACCGAGCGTGCTCATCTGCCTCTTGGGCGAGACTAGCGAAGAGCTCTTCGTCCTCAGGGTCGCTGTATTCATCGACATCGCTATCTCCGAACGGATTGTAATTGTCTTCGGCATTCTCATCCGCAGGTTGTGCGGTCTGCGCAAGTGCTTCTTCGAAATCAGCCTGATGGGCAACACCAGTTGTGTCAGGTTCCTTGTCAGCCGTTGAGATGTCTGCGACGGGCACAACAGACTCGGGGGTGTTTGAAAGCTCCCTGACGGTAACATCATGTTCATCCTCCTGCTCCGGAATTTCAATGTCCTCGAATTCAGGTTCAGGCGAAACAGAGGACTTGCTAGAAATAGCGACTCCACCAAGAGTGATCGTAGGAACCGGTTCATTGGCTTCGTCAGCTGAAGGAGCGCCGCTCGAATTACCTCCAGGTACTGTTTGAGTCTCAGTGACTTCGGCCTTCTCGGAGCTTTCTTGCGCCAATGAACTTGGTGTAGAAGATATCTCGGCTGGGGAAGCCATTTTCTTGGGTGCGGGAGCAACCTCCAAGACCTCTACGTCGCTCCCATCGTCAGAAGAGGCAATCTCGATCGTCTCGTTTTGGCGTTTGCGCTGGAACATCATCTCTTCTTCCGCTGCGGCCTCCCTGTCCTCTGCATTGATTTCTTGCTCAACTTCTTTGGCCTTCAACATAGTGTCACGAATGTCGGTGTTGTCCGTCATCCACGGAGGCAGGGGCTTAGGTGCGTTTGGATCAGGCTTCTGGCTCCGAAACCCACCGGCCATGTCGTCTAGATCACCCATCAAGGGTTCATCACCGCCCCGAACGTCCGACTCGAAGGCCGTTCTGAAGGTGTTGGATTTGCTCGGTTCGTGATCTGCCGGGAAAGATGGACCCAATATCAAGCTTTGGAAATGGTAAGGGTCCGCCAAATGGGTTCTTGATGTTGCCAGGCACCGCCTTTGGCTGAGCCTTCCTGTTCTTGCGCGAAGCTGCCAGGGCAGCTTGTAGATCATTATCGCTGTCGCTACTGCTGGCGTTGCTTTGCCGACGTTTAGGCACGGCAGCACTGGCTCTGTTATTGACGATGTGGGCAACCATGCGGCCGCTCGAGCTGGCGATCGGCTTGTTCTGGGGGACTGCCTTCTGTTCCCACTGGGGAACAACCAGCTCCACGTCCTCGAAAACGTCCTCAACTTCGGGAGTGTCAGAGTTTGCGACATGTTGACTCTGGAGCGACAGAGCGATCGCCTGGTTGATGTCGTCCTCTTCTTCGGGGTGAAGATCCTCCGAATTTTGCTCCTGGGGTTTTGTTGACAGCTTCAGTGCCTTGTCACCACCAACAAAGAGAGAATCATCCTCATCCATGGTTTGACCCTCAGTTCCATGGGATAACTTTGGCAGTCTATTAAGGCCCTGCACAGGAACGTCTTCGAACTCCTCCTCCTCTTCCATCTCCGGTTCTTCGTCTTTTTGCTGGTATTTGAACTCCAGAGCGTCAATATCGATTGGTTTGTGAGCTTCGCCAATGTCCTTCTCTTTGCTGACGACACCAAGCGCCCAGCCGCCTTCGACTCCATCGTTCTTCACGAGAATGTACTCGCGGTCTCTCTCACCCGCGATACGACCGCCTCCATTGATAGTCAGATCAAGGCCGGTCATGCCGACTTCCTTCATCAGCAACTGTGTCAAATTATTTCTCTCCTTGACCCTCTCAATCTGAAAGCGGGAGAAATCCATTCGATTGGGGAACATTTCCTCGAGTTGTTCCTTGCTCAGACCCATTCGCAGCCGACTTCTCAGACGGGCGGCGTTGAGAATATTGTATCGATCCGGCGGCGGCAAGCTCTTGAAGAATTCACCGTTAAAGTCGATCTTGCTGAAGTCGTAAAGATTGAGGTCCTCGCCATTGTTGAACTGTCTCGCGTATTCTTCCAGCTCCTCCACACTCATGATCCTGGGATCATCTGCCCTTGCCATGGAAGAGATATCCCCATCCAGCTTAGGGAGATGATATTGATCCTGCTTGCGAAACGTCCGCGTTTGCTGTCGCTCCTGCTGCGACATGCCAACCTCACCCACGTAGACGAGCTGATCCGCATTCGGCACAGCTTCCTCCTCGGCCATCTCGGCCTGCCTAGCCCGCTCGTCAACGCCCCTCTCCAACTCTCTCTTGCGCTTCTCGTCCTGTTCCTCAGCGATTCGCTGCATCTGCACGGCGAGCAGCTTGCCCGCCGTGCGAACAGCGTCATCGCGGCGTCCCTCGCGACGGCGTTTGCGCCCTTGGATCGTCTGTCGCTTGAGTGCGGGAGCTCCACCGTCGAAGACGAAGACGGGCCGTATACCAAACCAGAGGAGCTTACAGATGCGGCGGAAGAAGCCTACGACGTGTGAATTGCGAAGAGCGTTGCCCTCCTTATCGCGCACGGCCTTGAGAAATTGGTATATCCAAATGGAGGCGTCGACAGCGAGACGCTTTCGATTTAGAGTGGCAAGATTGGTCGGGCGCGCACAGGGTTGGAGGACCGTCCAGAGGCCGTTCACACCCATGACGGCGTCGGTCCCTGCTGAGGGATGGATTCACAGCGTGTGGGCTTCGTAGGTGCGTGAAGTGATGGGAGAAGATTCCCCTCAGATGAAATATTGATGAAGCATTATGGTATGTGCCCTCGAGCCGATTGCGGCCGTGACGGATGGGCAGAGCGCTGCTAGGAGGTGCCGTGAAGGTTACAAAATTCACATGCGTGAAGTCACGACGCGTTTGGTGTCTCGACCTAGCGGACCTTACATAGGTATATAATGATGACGCTGATGCCTGCCAGTATCTAATCAGTGGCCCCACTCTCCGCCTCTTCTCTTACCTCACCCCCTCCACTGGGAACTCTGAACTCTTGGCTGCTAGGTATCGTTACAGTGAACTGTATGCACTGGAGATCTTGGCACTCTGCACCAAGCAGAGCCGCAACCTCCCAAGCCGGGGCATACGTCTCAATGCTAGAAATCAGCCTGCCCAGCTGACATTCGCTCCCCTCGAAACACCTTTGCGCAATCGCCAGGGTCTCGTCATGGAAACGGACAAGGAGGCAGCGAGGGACTTCCTCTCCTCGCTCCTCAACAAGAACCTTCGAGTCGTCGCAACTGACGGGCGCATGTTCCTTGGCCAATTCAAGTGCACTGATCCGGTTTGTCCATTGCCGATACTCCATGCTTATGACTCGAGCTGACAGCGTTTCTCTACAGGACCAGAATGTAGTCCTTGCTCATACCTACGAATACCGGCGGCCGACGTTCCAGCAACAAGGGGATGCAGCGCGAGCGGCGGGCGCGAACGCGGAGAGCGTGAAGATGGATATGACTTCGCGCTATTTGGGGCTTGTTGTGGTCCCTGGAGAACACATCGTCAAGATTGAAGTTGAAGAGTTTGCGAGCCAATTGAAGCACAACAATCCTTACGCCGAAGCTGCGGTGGCACAATGTGGCAGTTGACATGAGATTTTGGGGCCTTTTGGACCCCTGGAGCGCTTGGTGAAACGGAAATCACGCTTAGAATCAAACGACGACACGAGCAGATGGTAGAAGAATGTTTTGCATAATGAAAATTCATAAACCTGAAAACTATCATCAAGTGACCCGGAGTAGGTGCAGGGCATGATCTGAACCAGCCCCAATCCCGTCGACCAAACACCAACGAACCCAATGCCCAAGCATGTTTCTGACCGAAATGGCTCCTCATTACCACCACATTCCCGCATCGCAGTGTAGCCACGATGAAATTAGGCACCGTGACGTTTTTATTAGCTTGGCATACTCTTTCATGCCGCAACTGCCTCCTGTTGGCGACCGCGGGTTTCGCCATTGAGACCAGTGTCGCTCTCGAGTACAGAGTTACGGTGGTCATCCTCATCGAGCTCCTCCTCATCGGAGTAGTCGTCGATCTCCTTGTTGCGAGTCGAGGGCATCCATGACGAATCATCGTTGAGAGGAGCATCCTGTCCTGACAAGTCGTGCTCACGCGCCTTGATGTTGTTGCGGCGGCGAGTCGACAGGGTGCGGGAGCGGGTAGACAGCTTGGAGGAGACAGCAGCGTTCGAGGTCACCCAGCTGGTGAGGGAGTCCTCGCAGTCCTGAATGATGGCCTTGCTGGCTTCGTATCCGTCATAGGCCTGTCGGGTCTCGCCGGGGGTGACGGGGGTATCGTCGATCAGCTCGAGGAGGTGCTTGCCGTACCCTGCAATAATGGCAACCTTCTCGCAGTGCTCGCGCAAGGCATCGAACTGGTAAGTGTAGGCGGCCTTGATCTTCTCACGAGTGATGTTGGACAGCTGAGCCTCTGCGACAAGCGACTCGGCCTCGGCACGAACAAGCTCCTGCTCGAGGACGACGATCTTCGGCGAGTTGGGCTCCTTGTACTTCAGCTGTGCGATCTGGTCCGTAATCTTTTGCTTGCCTGGGGAACAGTCAGCGGACCGGTGCATAGGTCATATATGGCATCGAATACATACGGTCTCGGCTGGGCTGCACGGAGGCCTCGATGTTGCGGATGCTCTTGATGGTAACGCGGTATTGGTCATAGCGGTCGACATATTGGTCCTCAAGCTCGCCGATCTCGTAAAGCAAAACTCCCAGCTTGTCTGTGACGTCGGAAACATCTTCGTCGCCAGCCTCACCCCAAATAGATAGTTGTTGCTACAGAAGGTCTCAGTCAGCAACCCGTGGATTAGGTGACGCGCGAGTGACGACTTACAGCAACCTCCATACGCTCCTTGGCCACGGTCTCGAGACTGCGCATGACGTTCTTTTCCATCTTCACGAGCTGAGACAGTTTCTTGGCCAGGTCGGGGCCGAAGGCACCGGCAGACTTGTGGCGGATGGCATGACCTACAGGACCAGGGTTAGCGTTGTCCATCCCCGAACAAGCCGCTTCCGGAAAATAATGCAGGAATGGTAAAGCACTTCAGGCGACACAGCGCGATGAACTTACCAAAACCGCCGCGACCGAACAGGCGACCGGACTTGGTGGAGGACGTGGGAGGAGGAGGGTTCTGCAAAAAAGTGGTGAGCTGATGATGTCTTCACTTTCGGCAGCATCGGTGGGTACCAACCTGAAGCTGAGAGGCAGTAGGCGCCCGCGTCTGGCGCATGGAGTAGGTGCGATGCATCTTGGCGGTGTGTTCGTACTGAGTTCAATTTCTGTTGGACGGCGTCAGGCTTCAAAGCGCAAGCAGAGGCTTGTAGAAATAATTGAGTGCGGGCGGGGTGGAAAAGGGTTGAAGTTGATCAATGTCAAAATACGTCCGGGGGTGATGTGATCGTTTATATGTGAGTGACCCCAGACAGCTCGGCTTTGGGGGGGGGGAGGGAGGGTTGTCCGCTGTACGTAGGGGTCTGGTTGGGATTGCGACGGCGGAGTCGACCTCATTGACGACGTCATTCGTCGTTTTAGTGTGTTGTGGCTCCCTGGCTGGTGCCTGCATCTGCGTTGCCGTGTACACGCACTTGGCCCCTCCTCTGAGTACAGTTTGGGACACCCTAGGCGAAGGCCCTGTGCAGTTCGTGCCTCAAGTGACTTTCCCAAAACCTGAGACATATGTATCCCTTGCTACCGCGCCCACCCGCACCCGGTCCCCGGAGCCACCGCTGTGATCAACAACTGGGATCAGGTTCGAACCAGAGCTGGGTCATTTCCATTCTCTGAGACCAGCCGCCCAATGCGGCTGCCCAGAGAATGATGATCGCATGCGATTTCAAGGCGCCGGCCTGTTTCTAGTACCAGAGAGACAGGGGCAGTGCCACATTGGGACGAAATCTGACCCCCCCCCCCTTCGTTGCTGGGCCAAACTGCCTCCTAAACTGCCTCCTCATCCTGCTGATGCATGGGCCGTCGCCATCGCCGAAGCAGGAAGTTGGCCTCGTCTGATGTTAGCTAGCATGTTCCGACCCTTTGCGCATCTGCTGGCAGTCGGTCGATGAAGGGTTCACATGTTGGAGAATCTGCAGCCTAGACCATGGGAAGCAGGCGAGCCCGGAGCGGGGATTTTAAGGACAAGCCTTCCCTGGCAGAGAATGGGACAGCCCAACATACTACCCTCGTTGGTCTATTGCCCTAGGCGAGGCAGCCTTTCTATTCATCATTCAGACAAAGTTCACTGATAGACATCGCGCCGCATTGCCAACCGCGTCTCGAAATTTTGGGCCCTCTTGACCATCAACTTATTTCCCAGTACCAGCAAAGCTTTCTAAACTTGGGTCGGGCACGCTATAGAACCGTGGTCAACCCAAGCGTCACGAACCCACGATTGACAACCTCGTTGACATGGCCAAAACCTTAAAGTGCAATGAATAGACAGAGTGATGGGTGCTGGGTGTGCGTGTTTAATTAGAACGTGTTTTCTATCTACCTGGGGCGTCTAAGAAGCTTTCTGTGGGAACATTTGGTATCGCTGAGGGAGGGGGGGGGATGCCCAGAATTGCTCGATTGGTCTTTGATTCCAACCGATGTAGTGTAAAGGCTTTGGTGCCCTACTCCAAGCGGCTGATGCCCTGACTGCGTTTCATTTGGCACTGCAGTAAACCCATTGATGCAGTTCCGAGTATCCGGGACTGAGAGCTCCTTAAGACGAGGGCCATGTCCAGGCGTGATCATGTCTCTGAGCAAATGGATCGCATGCTTGACAGTTCCGGATATGATGACTTTTTACCACCGCCTTGCTGCAGTTGGTTCGGACAGGGGCTAGCAACATGGGAGAATCGTTTAGGTTTATCACAGTGAGCGTGGTTGTCCGTTCGGCCGTTGTGGGATCGTCAAAAGTAGACAGTCTCAGAATCGACGCGATGAACAGCTCGAGAGGGGATCGAAGACAGTGCCAGGGCACCCGCACAAGGACGTCATCGACACATGCCTGGTCCACGGGGGATTTATTAGCGCTCGGCGCTAGAGAGATGCCGGCCTGCGCCGTGGACTAAGAGGCCGTGTAATTTGCCATGCCCTTTTGGTAGCCTGAAGTGGCATGGTGCGTAATTGAAATCGAATTGATATCAGCATTACGAGTCTGATGTGGTGGCCAATGGAGCTGGGAACGAAGCTATAACCACGAGACTGCCACCAGATCGAGAGACAATCGTGGAGTCTTGGCCGCGCAATTCACCATACCAAGCCCCGCAATGCACAGGAGGAACACGACGCTTCGAAACATGTGCCATTTTTGAAGCCAGATATAGATATTATTCAAGCGTTTGGATCGGCTCTGAGCTAAGGAAAATAGATGTATCTCAATTGAGGATGTGCGCGTGCAAAATTTCCTCCATTTGCCTAAGCTCAGAGGAGTACGGCCGACAAGAGAAGTGCTCTCTTGATCAGATGGCCCGTGCGACGTGACATAGCTACCAGTTCGGCGCCTTACTTCGATGCGGTATCTGATCCCAGATGAAAGGCAGGCGAGCGAAAGAAGACGAGTTGTTGACGCTACGCTGTTGAGACGCCCGAAGACGGCACAAGGTGTTCCAAAAAAACGGACTTCTTATATATCTTGGAGCTCTCAAATTTGCGGCTCACTCATGAAGAAGCGGCAGGGGTTCAATCCTCATGCTGTAGTACAGGGACGATTGAAGGCATCTCGCAACGAAAGAAGACACAGACAGACCCACTTGTCTTAGGACGAAAGCTTTCACGCAGCCCTGGCTGGACGAAGTTCCGGTCAAGAAAGACCAAACATGTTATAGGACATGAGTGCTGTTGGATCCCTCAAGGCATGGAATAATCATCGGCGGCCGAGGACCTCCCTAGGTACCTAAGGTAAGGTAGGCAGCTACTCATGGTAAGCTGCCTGACATGGCCAGCACCCGGCTGGCAACTCAATACCCTTGGAAAGTAGGCGTACTTGATTGGCTGTGCGCCCCCGTATTGATCCACATTCAAAATTCTGGTCCACCGAACGTGCCTGACTTGGCTTGGTGGTAGCGACGCGCTCCGTGATTGTCATCCTTCAGCAACATCTCCAGAACCTCATCTTCAACGCGTCTCGCTGGCTGCTCGTGAATCTGCCTCACCGCCGCCGTCATCCATCTCCTTTACTGGCGTCAGGCTTCGCACGCAAGAGATCTTTCATCGCCATATTCTTGGCAAGTCGTCATCGCCAGCCACCATGAAGGGGCCCTCACAAGCAGATTCGCAATGTCAATGAAGAATGGGTCGCCGCGCCGCGAATTCGGCTCTTCAAGAGCGAATATTCACAAGAACCCCGAAATCCACAGGCTCATCGACTTGACTATGGATTCTACCAGCGAGGGTGGTTACTCCGAGTCCGACGAACCTGTCTTCCCCATGAAAGACTTTCTGGGCCCCCAAAGACAGCGTCGCGTGATCATGCCGCCAGGAAACGAGGTCAATGGCGCGAAAGGGCACCAGGCTATTGTCATCGACTCATCGCCGCCTCATGCCTCTCATGTCAACGGTTCAGCGACGGAACGCAGCGAGAGCCGCCTCGAGTCAGAGCCTTACGAAAGTCGGAGTACTCCCAGATTCGAAGGACGCCATGGGTCCAACGATCGTTGGCAACTGCACCCTCCAAACACATGCAGTCACTCTTTCACAGAAATCCGTCAAGCCTCTGACAAGGGACATGGCCGCGCCGACGTGAGAGATATGCTCCTTGTCGACAAGCAAGGCCTTGTGTCATCTCACCTGAACATTAACCACGAGAGGCACAGCAGCGCGTCCCCTCACATGAGCACTCTGGTGCAGCAGCATGTCCACACAGTCTCATTTCCATCTCCTGGACGAAGCAACGCTAGCTTGTCAACATCCCATCCCCAATCAACGAATCCCACGTCAGCCTCTCAGGCACACATGGCACCTACCTTTTCACGTCATTCTTCTCACCATATGCCTGCAAGCTCACACCGGGAAGGCTCATCGGTCGGCGAGAAACAAACGCCAGGATCATTCGAAATGACCACCCCCTCACTCGACCGTCAGTTCCACAATGGAGGAGGTGCTTCCCTACAGCATACGCCAAATGAGGTTGGGTGGACAACTGGCAAGATCGCACGAGCTCTTGAGGAGCGAACCCAGGATTTAGAAAGATTCAACCAAGATCTCGTTGCATTTACTATCAAATCGGTCAAGCCGACGGAGAAACGCGTCCTGAAAGGCACTGACTGGTTCAGCTGCGTCAAGCACGACCCCGTTCCAGTCGAGGTTGGTAACAACGACATGATTAAGATCAAGGTTAAGGTAAGCAGAATTAACACGGCGTTTGGATTGCACAGCCCTCCAAAGCGTTAAAAATTAATGTTAATACAGCATCACGGACGCTCTAAGAAGGAGCAACGCACTTTCCATTTCATGCCCATTTGCATCAAGACAGAGAGACTACGTGTCCCGAAGTATCGTTTTCATCACAAAGAAATCGCGAGAAACGTCCTGACACCAAACACTATGCTCAAGTTCGTCCCCCACATCCGCGACTTGGAAGCCAATGAGGAACGTAACTACAACCTCTGGCTTAAGGAGCTGGAGCGTATGGATGCCAGCTGCGGTTTCCAGCCCATGGGAACCCGGGAGCAGAGGGTCATCCGTACAGCAAAGAAGGAGCGGACGGCCATGTTAGCGCTTTACCTTGACTACTGGTTGGGAAAGCTGGCCATACCCGACTGTACGAGAACGACTCTGATCCGGCACATGGCCAGTAACCAATCCGACATGGCTATCACACCGCTGCAGAAATCAAGCTTGTACAGCCTCCACCGGGGCAACGGACCAGCAGACACGCCACAAGCCGCCCTGTCAGCCAAGATGTTCACCGAGGCATTTGATCATGTTTTCCATGATGGCGTCTCACCTGAAAGGGCCGTCAGCCTTCGGGATATACTCTTGTTGGACAAAAGCGTCGATGACATCGTGGAATCAAAGAAGACTGCGAAAACCGCTACGCAGGATGATGCCAAATCACCAGAAGCCTTTCTAGAGACATACGCGATCATGGGATGTTTAATCTGCTACAGCAATTCGTGCGAGCATGGCGACTATGGCGAGAACAACGAGAAAAGGAACTTCTCGCTCGACTGTAACGGCCAGTTGGAACAGCTCCTGACGAAGAGTCGAGACGCCCACGAAAAGCACGACGCGGATCAGACCGTTATCGAGCCATGTAGCCGCGAATGTTTCATCCTCCACGGAGACGGAAGCAGCTTGGGCCAAGCAATGGGTGCACGAGAAGCGCGACCCTGGTCGGCGTCCAACGAAGCGCTGCTAAAGTCTTTGTTCTCATCGATCGAATGCAGTGGTAGAGTACGGTCTAAACCACAATGTATGGCTGCCGAGATTCTCAATCGCGCCTGTTGGGATGTCCACCGACAGTTGAAAAAGCTCGATATCCAGCTCCCCGAAGATACGAGCCCTGAACTGCCACGGGTAAAGAATCTTACCTGGTATGACCGACACAAGAAGATCCTCCTAGGGGACTGGCAGGAACATACCGATACCCACGATCACAGGCTACGGTACGTCAACGACCCCTGTCATCATGACGGTCCCTGTACTGCGGCCAACGGCTGCAAGTGCGTGATTTTCAATGTGTTATGTGAGCGCTTCTGCCGATGTACCGCAGAATGTTGCGCGTACAAATTTACCGGGTGTTCCTGTGCGGGGAGTGGGAAGACATGCCAGCAGAGGAACTGCATCTGCGTCCAACTCAATCGTGAGTGCGATCCTCAGCTTTGTGGGACGTGTGGTGTGATCGAACGCGCGCATCCGGACAATCGCGACAACGAGATTATCATGGAGACTGGCTGTCAGAATTGCGCGCTACAGCGTGGCCATTGCAAAGCAGTCACGCCTGGCAAAAGCCAACTCGATGGCTGCGGGTATGGCCTATTCACGCTGGAGGACATTGCACAACATGAATTCGTCATCGAGTATACTGGCGAGCTCATCATGCACGACGAGGGCGTTCGAAGAGAAGCACGGCGTGGTGAAGTCTTTGATGAAGGCTCATTTACTTCTTACGTCTTCAGTCTGTTGGACTCGGAAGGCATCTGGGTCGATGCTGCTATATATGGCAATCACAGCCGCTACATCAATCATGAACAGGATACCTACAATGTCGAACCGAAGATCCTGTACGTCAACGGCGAATATCGCATTCGCTTTTCGGCGACGAGGAACATCCAGGCTGGCGAGGAGCTGTTTTTCAACTACGGCAACAATTTCCCAAACCTGACTAAGAAGATGATCAAAGACAAGACGGCCGAAGAGGACGGTCCAGTGACCTCTGAAAGCTTGAGCGTGGAGCCATTGCCAGCTAAGAAAACCCGCGTCCAAGGAGGTTCAACGCGAGGCCGGGGCCGGGGTGGTACCCGAGGCAGAGGGCGAGGGCGTGGGGTCGGTCGCGGGCGCGGTGGAGGACGAGGACAGGCTACCAAGTCGGAGCCGAAGCCTGTCAAGAGGGGACGGCTTAGCGCACGCAAGGAAGCACCCCAGATGCCGGAAGAGGTCGTGCAAGCTGCCAGTGATCTGGCAAAACCTACTGAAGGTCGCAAACGCAAGCGAGACCTCATTGAAGATTCTGAAGAAGAAGAAGAAGAAGAAGAAGAAGAAGAAGATTACGAGCCAACGACAGTGGAGGAGGAAACCGATAACAAAACAGACACGCAAGTGACGCAAGTGGCACAAAGCTGAGAAGGGTAAACAGACCCGAGGCGACACACGACGACGTAGCCGACGACGACTCGAAAGCCCGGTCATGGACGACGACGAGGAAACCGCTGAGATGAACACCCCAACTCGCGGCAGAGCCCGACAGCGACAATCAGCGTCAACGTCTGCAGGCTGGCTAGTGAATGGCACGTTAAACAAACAAGTCACTCCGCTGCACAAGCGGCGAGGACGACTTCCGAATAAGGCTACTGAGGATGTCAAGTCTAAGGGTGACTCCGCAAAAGCCGATGAGTCGCCCTCGCAGCCCAAAGGAAGGAAATCAAACTCTGCTTTGAAGGCTAATACTCCACGCCGCGGGCGCGACGAAGCGGAAGATTACATCGATGATAATGACATGGACAACGACGATCACGATGAGACGCAAGCTACGCCAACACCTGTCTTGCGAAATCGCCGCAGCCGTCGATTTGCGGCCTCTGATTCAGACGATGAAGCGATGCCATTCCCTGGGGACACTTATGTGGATGAGGATAGCATCGGGTCGCGGCTGAGTGGCGGTCGCAGCGATTCTCGTTCTCGCAGGGAGAGGAAGATGCCAGCTAGGTATCGTGATCGCGAAATACCTTGAGAGTTCCCTGCCATGCACTTGGTGCTTCTGCTGCTATGGAGAGTTCGGTCTGGGGCTCGGCTAAAGGTTGTGTAGCGGCAGCCGCTGCTTGGGTTCTTCGAGTTGGACAAGACCACTGTCTTGCTTCAAGAACCATATTGAATCAGCGTCATCGACCGTCTCGTCAGCTTGGCTGAAAGCTGCCGTTCCCCTTATTGTATTAGTACCATGGTCGGATTCCCTAAGCCCAAGGGGGCAGCGCGCTTCTTCTCTGCTAGCATATATACTTGGGGCTGGAGAGCATCTGCCTTAACGAGCGAGCATCTTTCAAGATAATTAATCAGTCGTGAGGATCGATGTCATCAAAGCATTGAAAGTTTTGATTTGCCCCGATCGAATTCAAGGGGTAGCAATTGTCCGCGTGAGGTGAACTACTAGGGGATGATTCCTGGATCTATTGTTGGAGGTTCGGTTCAAGTCATGCTGAAAAAATGCAATGGCAAGCAAGCTGACTTCGGATTCACGCAAAAGGGGGCCGTTCTATTGCTAGGCATATGCAGACGTGGAACTTATGTTGTCAGCGTACATAGCTCATAGTACCTGTAAGTGGCTATCCCCAGCCAGGATACTGGCGTGGTGAAGTCGCTTAGCATAAGGTGGCGCATCTCATGTATAGTTTAAATGTAGGACGTCTTTACCAGCACTGGCCAACGGACGTCGATGATGCAGTCAAGCTGATGTTCATTAAAAATGAAGAAATTTCACATACTGTCATGAAACAACTTCCTTCAGAAGCAGTGTCGTAGTCATGTTGTCAGATGCGCATACAAAATGGCGCTACAGTGCTTCCACAAGGCTGTTGCGACTTTGACATACTGAATCCAGAGTATGGCTTCTTTCACTCGTCTTGGCTGGGATAGCTCTCGGTCATGTGTGTTATGCGGAAGAGCAACAGCACGTGTAAAGGTCTGCCATGGATGAGGACTGGCACATGTCCGATGAATGCAGTGTAGAAACAATACTAGGGTCCTCGGTATTTCCTGCCTTACCCTAACCCTCGCTCTCCGATATCTACTACGCTCAGAAGGGCTCGGGAGATTATGATGCATGTCGCGCAAGCTCCGCAACACAAAACTCGGAACATTTTCTCTTGTGAGCCCATCAAAGATAGAACAAGAAGTTTGATGATCACACCGAAACTCTAATGGACCGTGGCCCTTGCGAGTATAAGTTGAAATTCCACACCCAATAGTGACGAGGTCACAAAGAGCTACTAGTAGAGAATCAACGAAGGCTAACAGGTTTACAAGAACTAATGTCGCCATGTAGATATACAGCCCAGGAAACAGAGCTAGTGGGCTTGTCAATAACTCTAATGGATTCTATCACTACGATTATCAAGCGCCCGAGAGGGTTCCTCGCCTAGATACTTCATGAGTGCGAAATGTACGTTTGACTCGTTCCGTAGTCTATCAATCGCGGAATGCGACGAACGAACTTAGAGCTCTTCAAAGACAACGTCAAAGAATGACAGACAAGTAATTAAATGAATAACCTTTCATTCGTTGTCGTTGCCGGTGTCATGTGGGATCCCCAGGAATAGTCATATATCGAGGTCAGGTCAGCCGCTTACATAAAAGCCTGACAGTAAATGCATGGACATTCGACATGACGTACCGCATCGCGGTTAGCGCCCCACACATCACGTCGTCCACCAACTGCCAGTGTTCACCAATTGACGACAACTGAACTGTCAAGTTCAGTCGGACGGTCGCACATCGAGAATTCCTAGCTGAAAGCTCTACATCGGGCCGGAGAAGAACTGTCGATTGATTTGAGGCCCTAATCCCCATCAACAGCCGCTGGACACAAGGTCGACATGGCGCCTTCAAAACGAGGTCCCTCGGTCCTGGTAGGTGTAGTAAATCTGCGGACAGCTCTGATCACTGCTAACCATGCATTCACCACAGGTGACTGACTCCCGCAGCAGACCGGCGCCTCGTCCTGCAGCGCAGCGCCGTGATACTGGAGCAGGTGGTGCAGGCCGGCCACCCATGCGCTTCATCTCTGTCGACAACGTCCTCCAATATTCTTCCGACATACCCTCCGGTCAACCTCGACCCGGCCCTGTCCAACGACCAGGCGGTCCCATCGGCGCACGCCGCGTCACTTCTTCTTCAGGAGCTGGAGGAGGTCTGCCGACTGTCCAATCAAGGTCAGGCCAATCGATTGTGCCATCACGAACGACGAAGATCAGCGAGAAGCTCGTTCTCTTGCCCGAAACCATTGACGAAAGAAAGAGCTCAGATGAGGACGAGGACGACGATGCTGCTTTGCTGGCGAAAAGACTCGAACAGGAAGAGAGTCGGCCACTGAAGGATGAAGAACTAGAGCTGCTGCGCAAGAGGGGCCCGATCCGTGGCAAGAGCTATGCCGAGAGAATGCCCAAGGTGCAGCGAAAGGAGAAGCTTGCGCGGTTGACTGCCTACTGTACTGCTCAATCGTACAAGACGAAATCGACGGCCGAATTCTTGCGCAAGAAGCACGGTGCCAAAACGAAGCTCTACGATGATTGTCTTTATGCCATTTATGCGCTGCCTCTACTTCCAGGCTCTGAAGGCTGCCGGGTGCGGAGCCGGCCAATGCTCAAAACGCCCGGCAGCGGGAAAACTGTGCTTGACCTCGAGCTGGAGCGAAGCGAGCGGAGGGGTCACCAGGGAGGATACTTCCCAGATGACGCCTACACCGGCACGAGCCCGACCAACGGAGATTCGGAACAGCACTTCGAGGACCTGCGTCGTGGACGGTCCCAGCCGAATGCGAATCAAACGATACAATGAGCCCTGATGACCGCTCACTGTCGCCCATGAGCCGCATCGCTCCGGATGCCAAGGCGTTCGCTGAAGTATTTCTCTTCTCATACGGTGTCGTTGTATTCTGGAATTTTACCGAAAACCAGGAGAAAGACATTCTCGCCGACCTGACCTTTGCCGAGAACGACTCTGGCCAAAGCCTTCTCACGCGGCCGTTGAACGAGGAGGATTTTGAGACGGAGGAGTTCCACTTTGAATACAGCGAGAACATAAAACGCCCGCGTATCTTCAACGACATGATCACCTTACTCCCGCGAAGCGATCACATGATCAAGCTCTCGATCAGCCACGCCATCGCGCAAAGCACCAAGCTCTGTCTCTTTGAAGAGCGCATGAGCGAGACAATGCTCGACGCACAACACGTGCCGAAGAGGCTCGCACTGACGGGCGAGCTCAACATGACGCGAACCGAGATCCTCAAGATCCTCGGCCGGCTGTTCAAGAGTCGCGTGGATATCAACCTCTGTATGTATCACTATGGACCCTGTCACGCCATGACCAAGCTAACCTTGCCTAGCATCCAACATCCTCGACGTGCCCAACTTCTTCTGGGACTCGGAACCCACCCTCAACCCCCTCTACGTCGCCATCCGCGAGTACCTCGAGATCGATCCCCGCATCAAAGTCCTCAACGAACGTTGCCGTGTCTTCCTCGACCTAGCCGAGATCCTCTCCGACTCGGTTGCAGACTCCAAGATGAGCTACATCACCTGGATCGTCATCATCCTCATCGTTATCAGTATCCTCGTCACACTGACAGAAGTCGGCTTGCGCTTCATCCTGCTGAGCAAGAACAGCGACGAAGGCGGTAAAAAGCCCGGCGAGACCGCCGTGCGTATGCTGCTCGACGTGCCCCAGGTGGATGTTGGCATCGGCGGACTAGCCGGGGAGCTGCAGGGCAGAAACGTCACCATCGAGGACGTGAGGCGGTGGAGCCGTCTGCTGGGCGAGGCAGACCTGTGCGGCAGCCAGATCGTGGGTGAGACGTTCAAGGGCGTCTGAGGTACCATCTTGGCTGCTGCGTTCGGTGGCCTTTTGGACTTGATCTTTCTTTGGTTGATTCCGCTTCGATACGAGCGTGGCGTTTTGCGTTTGGCCCCGAAAAGACTTTTTTTTCCCCCAGGGGTTTATGGAATGGTGCAACTAGACGCAAGTCCCATCAATCTTCCACGGACCATGCTCTCCTCCTTTGACTTTGCTTTGGCCTAGCCGTACGTGTAGCAGTACAATAGAGCACACACAAAGTGGATGATATTCGAGTGAAGTATACATCGTAGTAAATAATCTAGACTGTCTTAATCTAGTACCCAACACCAGAATCCAACGCAAAGAAAGTCGCCCACAAAATCTGGTACATGGATGTATCCCTTAGACTTCTCGATCGTTCATGTCCGCAAGAGGAACATAACCTTCCGTCTCCTTACTGCCGGTGCGCAGCCTCTTGAACAGGTCAGCGAGCCTGTCAACCAGGCTGAAGCCAGAGGCCTTGGCGCGGCCGCCACGGCTCTCGATGAGAGCGTCGTTCATCCAGGCAGGACGCGACCAGAACTTGAGAAGCAGGCTGCTCACGACGACACTGACGCTGCTGCACGCCATGGCAGCACCAGCAGCCATAGGGTGAAGGTGGAAGCCAAAGGGCAGGAAGAGGCCCATGGCAAAGGGGAGGCCGATCAAGTTGTACATACAGGCCCAGGCGAGATTGAGCTTGATGCGATTAAAGATGGACCGCGCAAGATGTAGGGCAGAGGGGATGTCCATGAGGTCGGTGGGCCGCATGAGGACGACATCAGCGGCTTCCATGGCAACGTCGGTGCCGCTCGCCATGGCAATGCCAACGTCGGCAGTCGCGAGGGCCGGAGAGTCGTTGATTCCGTCACCAACCATGCCGACAACCTCGCCTTGCTCCTGAAGCTGACGGACGATAGCCTGCTTCTGGTCAGGGGATACACCGGCGTAGACATCGTCAGGCGAAACGCCCACGGCGGCAGCCACAGCCATGGCAGTGGAACGCTGGTCGCCGGTGACGATGGCCGTCTTGACGCCCATGCGGTGCAGAACGCCAATCGCGGCGGCAGCGCCGTCCTTGATCGTGTCCGCCAGGCAGAGGTGACCACTATACTTGCCGTCAACAGCGATGAAGATATTGGTGGTACCGGCATTCGTGTTCTTCGCGTTCTTGTTGGCTTTGCTGTTGAGCTGCTCCGATGCCTCGACAGCCTCCTCGGGTACGTCGACATTGTTCTCGCGCAGGAAGCGAACATTGCCGACCAAGACGCGGTAACGAAGGCGCTCAGTGCTCGATGCAGGTTCGACCAAAGCGTTGATACCCCGTCCTACGGCGGCCGTAAACTCGCCGACACTACCCTCGATCGTTCCCTCAGCATCGAGACCGAGCTCGGCCTTGGCGGCGCCGAGGACAGCGCGGCCAACAGGGTGCTCGCTGCCCATCTCGGCAAGACCAAGAACGGACCACCAAAGTCGTCGGCGCCACTCGTTGTCTTGCCAGTAGGGATCGAGTTGAACTTTGGCCACGCTCATCTTGCCGTGCGTGATCGTACCGGTCTTGTCGAACACAATTTGCGTTACCTTGGTGGTGGTTTCGAGAGCTGCGCCACCCTTGACAAGAATTCCATTCTCAGCACCGACTCCAGTGCCTACCATGACAGCTGTCGGAGTCGCGAGGCCGAGGGCACAGGGGCAGGCGAAGACGATGACAGAAATGCAGAGCTTGACGCACACCATGATCTTGCCGCCGCTATGCTCCTCAGTGAAGACCTTTGGAGGGTTCTTGAGCACATGGCTGAGCACCATCCAAACGAGGAATGTCATCAAGCCAAGGATGAGGATCATGGGAACGAAGTAGCCGGCGAGTGTGTCGGCCAGTCGCTGGATAGGCGCACGGGTTGTCTGTGCCTCTTGCACGAGCTTGACGATCTGGCTGAGCTGAGTGTCACGGCCGGCACGAGTGACACGGAAATCGACACGGCCGTGACCATTGACGGTTCCGCCGATGAGGTGACTACCTTTCTTCTTCTGAACAGGCATGGCCTCACCAGTCACCATGCTCTCGTCCACATATGTCTCGCCGCGAACCAGCACGCCATCGGCTGGAATTTTGTCACCAGGTCGAAGAATTACAATGTCGCCCACCTGAATCAGCTCTGTAGGGATAACCTTCTCCTCGGCCGCCGAAGCATCGCGGTTAGGTGTCTTAGGTTCAACAAGCGTTGCATTATCCCAGCTCTCGGCAGCCTTCTCGGCGGCAATGGGATCGGCGTAGATGGTGGCCATGGATGGCGCGAGCGACATGAGACGCGACAGTGCTTTTGACGTCTTGCCCTTCGCATTGTTCTCCAAGTAACGACCGAGAGTAACGAAAGTGATCAACATGGTGCTCGTGTCAAAAATGGTGCTGGGCCGAGAGTGAGGGGAAAAGAATATGGAAACCAGCATGGCCGTGACACTGAAGAAGAAGGCGCATGAAGTTCCGAGGATGACGAGGACGTCCATGGTTGGGGAGCCGTGCTTGATGGACTTCCAGCCAGAGATATAAAATCGCCTTCCAATGCCAAACTGGACGGGGATCGTAAGGCCCATACAGACGCAGTCGCCGAGAAAAAGACCAGGTAGGGATTTCCAAGCCGCCAAAGTCGAGAGATGGTAAGCACATTGGAATGATCATGCTGATGAGCAAGACAGGTATCGCGAATGAGAGCGACAGTCTGAACGCTCTTCGCCACTCACTGATTTCTCGCGTCTTGGCGAGCGATTCAAGCTGTGCATTGTTGTCATCGCTGTCTGCCATGAGCGCGTTCAAGCCTTCAGATTCAACTGCCTCAACGATGGCTCGTAGTCCAATCAGAGCGGGTGTATGGACGACGGTGAGTCGCGAAGAAGCCAGCTTGAGAGTAGCTGATTTCACACCGGAGAGAGATTCAAGCTTCGCTTCGAGGGCAAGAGCAGAGGTGGCGTCAAGATTGCCATAAACCTTGAACTGGACGGTGGAGTTGGCGCCGGAGTGGTCTGAAATATCAGACTGAGAAGAAAGAACCTCAGCGCCGAAACCACGATCCTCGATTATCTCAGCAATCTTGTCTGCGGAAAGCTTGGATGTATCGTGAGTAATGACGGCACGTTCAGCCAGTAAGCTAATGTTGAACTTGAGGACACCGTCGACGTCTGTGAAGCCACCCTCGACCGCGGACGTGCACGCTCCGCAGGTCATGCCCTCTATGGCGATCGTCGTTGTGGCGATGGAACTCGTGGAGCCGGCGCCGGATTTTGATTTCTTTTCTAGCTGTATCTTGTTGCTTTCGAGGATCTCGGCACCAAAGCCTCTGTCCTCGATGATCTCGGAGATCTGCTCGGCGGTTAGAAGTGTAGGGTCGTGTTCGACGACAGCGCGTTCGGAAAGAAGTGATATGCTGAAAGATTTGAGCCCAGGAAGGTCCTTGAAGCCTCCCTCGACGGCTGATGTGCAAGCTCCACAAGTCATGCCTTCGATGGCTATAGTCGTAGACATCATATCTTCATCGTCGTCATCGTCAAAGGCCGCCTCGTCCACAGCGTGGCGGTTGAGAATGGGCGAGGGCAGGTCCGTCGCCAGCACTTCGGCGTCAAACCCCCTGTCCTCAATGATTTGTTGTATTTGTTCGGCTGAGATGTGCTGCGGATCGTGAAGAACAACAGCGCGCTCCATGACGAGGCTCACGGAAACATTTCCAACGCCTTCGACGCCCTTGAAGCCGGATTCGACGGCTGAGGTGCAGGCACCGCATCTGACTGCGCGTAAGTCTATTGCGACCAACCGAGAGAGGTGGTGTATCAGGGAACTCACGTCATGCCTCCAACCTGGAGAGTTGTTGTCGCCATATGCGCCGTGTTAGGTACGATAAGGCCGGACGACGTTGATCGTCTGCCACTCTCCTCTTCCCTCGGTGGGACCTTGATGTAGGCGGGCGCCATGTTTGGACGCGTTTTGAGGGTTGTTGGCGGAATAGGTTGCCGTCGTTCGGGAGTCGAGGTCGCTTCTGGAGAAGGATCTCGAAGAGAATGGGAGGGCCTGGGGCGGGGGTGTACTGCTGTGCTATGCTACACTGTTGCGTGCAGACTCATTACTATTGATTTCGGGTCGTGGGATAGATGGACTCGGCGTAGCTCGGCTCGGCGCCAATGTCAATCGTCGTCCCTCGAGTGGAGGAGGCTGAGACGACGAGATGGCGGCAGCTGACGACAACTTCGTAAGCAAAGCGCAACAGGTACAAACACTGACTGGCTGAAAAGGGACGATAGTTCTCAAGACCCAGAAGACCGGCTTCCAGAAGGAGAAGGGGGGGAGGCGAACGGAGAATAGGTTGGGGGTATTTGGAAATATAAAGAGGGTGACCGATTGGGAGCCAAGCCACTGCAAGAGGAGAACAGAGGCGACAGATGCAACACCACGAACCAGCAGGCGAGAGGAAGGATGACAGAATGCGGAAGGTCGGCGGGTGGTGGGTTTTTGTCAGCGAAACGGCGCACCGAGACGTGCAGCATCGACATCCACCGGCCCTTTCCATCATCGTGCCAAGGGGCAGGGGTCCCAGGCCACAGTCCCTTCGTCTGTGAATAGAGGTACCTACGCGGGTGCGGTGGCAGACCCGAAGATGGGCACGAGGGGCCCTGAGCGGCGTGTCATCATCCACTGTAGAAAGACGATAGCGCTCGCTGGTAGGCGGTGGTGGGATGGCTACCAGGGTACCTGTGCTCGATGAGTCCAGGGGTGTGGGGGGGGGCGCTTGTCTTGGGTCCTCGGCGGCCAGGATCAGCGCCTGCAACCTGCGACATGCCGGGGGATACGGCGATACTTCTGACCAGCTTCCTGAAAGGACTTGGGCCAATCGAGACTTGTTCCAATCAGACGCACTGCGATTCCTGGTGGCGCACCTTGGTCCTGGCAATGTCCGAGCTGCTTGGGGGGGGAAGAGGCTCCACTCAGCATCTCCCACGGCGTAAAGGCGTAAAGGCGTGCCGTGGGTGGGCGCGCTGGCTGTCCCTCCAATGCACTGTATTGGCTGCGATGGCTCGTCCTGCATCTGCCCCCCAGAAACCAGTAACTTTCGGCTTCCGGAAACGAGCATCGTATGCCTTGACTCCGCGATAGATTGCCGATAGATGTTAGCATGCCTTGCTTTCGATTTTGCGCGACCAACATCCTCGTGAACCGTTTACACAGAGGTCGTCGTTGGCTCTCGTGCTCCAACTCGAGTGACACAGCGTGCGCGGTCAGTCTGCTGACCCTCCTTCTCGTCCCGATGGTCCTGTCCAGGTCAGCACCGGCAGGCACGGCTCCGAACTGTGACAAGAAACCAATCGCCCAGACCTCATTGATCAAAGGAAGCCCAGGTTGGATGGGTGGCGCAGGCTCAGGTGCCAACACGCGGCAGAAGCATCGAGTGTCCAAGGCTGTCTCAGCTTCTCGTCTGAAGCAACAGCTGAGTTGCGCTACCAGCTGCTTAGTCCAATAGATCAGGTTAAGTTTGAAGCCGAATCACCCGCTAACCTCTCAACCCGTTGCCACCCCCATACGTCTGCGTCCCGCCTGTTTCGTTTACCGTTCCAGGGCTGACAGGGTACGAGACGCAATGCCGTAGAGAGCATGATGAGGGCATCGAGAGCGCAAGCACGCCATGTAAATAGTTTAAACAAATGCTACGATCGCAATCAGAAGTGAGCACTTCCATCTCCAGGAGTGAAAACTGCTCAAGTTCTATTGTTAAACGTCATCGCTATTCCGAGACAGCAATCAAAGGAGAGATTTTCTTTCTTCATCGGCAAATCAATCAATGCATTGAGGAATAGCTGGGAGGATTGCAGTCGCCGCTGTCTCTGGCCCCTGGCAATATGCCTTTGACATCTCATCTTCTTGATTTGAAAGCTGGTTGACATGCTTTGAGTATCGTACGATGATGGCCAGATATTGATGCTGGCAAAAGTCGGGCTGGCCCAGATGCGAGAGACGCACGAAATGCTGAGGTAATACTGATTAGCTCCTTATCGATTAACGACAGCTCCAGCATCTTAGCCTCCAGCGAATGCTCAATGGGGTCCACTTGCAGTTCAACTGCCCCGCGCGGATCACTGTGCTCACGAACTAACCTTTGTCCAAACAACCACGGACCTCTTGCCGCGTGAACACCACGGTCCCATCCTCAAACAGATCTGATACCGGGAACCCTCCAGGCTCAGACTCGCGGAAACAAACGACTCCACAAACTTCTGAGCAGCTCCCGCCTACGATCTTCCATCAATCGACACATTCCCTGTCACGCCGGCTAAAGGATCAACCTTGGCACAGAAGCGACAGCTACTTGTTTTGGCTCCTTGACGCTCGTGTCCAGACGCTGCTTGAGAGCTGTCAGCCTCGTCAGCCCTTCGGCGAGGCTACCAATATACGCACTAACACCCCGCCCCCTCCCACGAGACCTACCTCCCTCGACAGGCTATTTCAGCCATGGAGCAGACAAAAGCTCTGAATGCGTTGGAGGTAACACCATTCCACACGCCCACCTCCTCGAGGCACCTCGCTAACCTTCTCTGCATAGCCTTTCCTGGCCCTCAGCAAGTCAGCGAGCTCCCCTCGTGCTGCAGCAGATCTTGTCACCCGCGCGACCTCCAATCCGAATACATTTCTCTTCACAGAGCTGCTTCAGACGCCACAGATCCAGAGTCTCGCCCAATCTGCCGAACACGCCGCATACCTCACGTTACTCCGCATCTTCTCCTATGGCACCTACGCCGACTACCAGAGGCAGCAGCAGCAGTCCTCCCAGTCGCTGCCCGACCTGAGCGACAGCCAGGCCCTCAAAGCTCCGCCAGCTCTCCCTCCTCACCCTGGCCCGCGATCGCACCAATCTCGCCTACCCCCGTCTCCAGACCGCCCTGTCTCTGCCCGACACCCGCGCCCTCGAGGCCCTCGTGACCTCAGCCATCTACGCCGGCCTCATCCAGGCGACACTCGATCCCGCCCGCCAGCACGTCCATGTCACCGCCCTGGCCCCTCTACGCGACCTCGCCCCCGACTCCATCCCTGCCCTCTCGGACAACCAGCGCTCCTGGTCCGATCGCTGCACCGCTACCCTCCGCGACATTGACGCCCAGACCGCCGCCCTCCGCGCCGAGGCCGCCCGCCGACAGCGCCACGCTGGCGTTCGCGAGGAGCAGCTCGCCGAGCTCGTCGCCGAGACGAAGCACTCAGGCGGCGGGGCCGGGTGGCGGCCTCCTTCAGCGGCGGTTACTGACGCTGCGCCGCCGCGCGGAAAACAGCATGCGGAAGGGCGCAAGGGTGCTCAGCCAAGCGTGGGAGCAACCTGATGGAGACGGCCGATCAGGAGGACGAGGAAGCCATGGACCTCGACCTGGAGGAGGAGGAGCAGAAGCGGGCCAGCCGTCGCAAGCTATAGGGTTTCTAGCGCAACATGGGATCGTGATCGGTGTTGCGGGGTGCGAATGGGAGAGACAAACTGTGCCGACTGGGCGGCAAAGAGGCGTTTACATGCATGCTTTCACTAAGGCAGACGGCATCCTATCACGAGGGTCCAACATCAATAGCGGGTATGACGCGGTAATGAGACACGTAATTCATGAGTTTTGCTCCAGGTTTTAGAAAGTGTCCGTTTCTCCAGGGACTGGGGGCCTGACTCGCAGGCTTTGTTGCTCATATACAAATAGGATCAAGGACCGTCGTGCAGTTCCCTCTACAAAAAAAAAAAAAAAAGGCAGTTACACGCAGGGCAGAAAGTTGTCGGTGATGATACATGCCTGTAACATTTCAAATGGTCCAAGAACAGAAGAAAGACGATGAGCAACGCTCGACCCTTGGTCGATGGTGCCAATCGGATCCGTGCCAGCAAACCCAATCCATACAATTACCATCTGCACGCCACCCATCCTTATCGAGCACGTGGTATCCTGAAGGGAGAGACTGGAAAGCAAAGTGCGAAGTGTGTTATCCGCGATGAAGAAGAATAAGAAGTAAAAGCAAACCCGAAAGCCCCGCTCGAATCCTTTACGCCTTGGATTATCATTACGTTCGTCAAGTCCCCAGCCTGCCAGCCGCGCCCCAAGCTTCTGCTGATACAGGCTCTCGCTTACTGATCGATCTATAATCTCTTGCCTGGAACCAGAATGAAGAGTACGCAGAGTGCAGCGTCGATCAGAATAGTGACGGCAAGGACCATAATGGCTCGTTTGGCGAGTAGTGTGCGGACGTATGGTTCACGAACGCGAGAGAAGTTGAAAGGCGTGTACTCGCTCAAGCCAATAAGAGCGAGGACGGGGTCGAGAGAGTACTGGTATGATGCGAGGAAGTAAACACCCAAGGTAAATGGCAGGATCAGCTTGCAGAGGTTAGCAAAAGTTCTCACAGCGGTTGGTACACACATTGCTTACCCAGCATCTAGTCAGTCGGTTCCTGTCAAGGAAGATGAGGACGAAGGCCGTCCAGAAGGCACCGAACATGGCCACGAGACCAAAAATGAGACGCATGACTAGTGTTGGCGGAATAAGATTTCCTAGCGCCTTCATGCGTAGGAACCCAGGGAAGGCATCCCGCTCCATAGCCTGGAAGACATAGTCCTTGGCTACGTCAAATACCTCAGGGTCGTCCCGTCCGAACTCTTCGATCGCTGACGTGACATCTTGGGTGATGCTACCAGGTAGTGTGATTTCGCGCTCCGCACCGGGAAGGAGAAAGGTGTAAAGGATCTTCTCCGCTGAGGCACGAATATCCTGGCGGGCAACTGTGTGACCAGGCGAGTTGGAGTCGGACGTAACGTCGCGAGGAGTGCTGAATGCTGGACTGGGCCGGCTGTTGTTGCGGCGATCATTGCTGCTTTGTGGCGAGTCCTGGATTTGGTCTTCGCGGAGGTAGGCAGACATTTGGGCGTCCTGGTCCTTCTCCTTTTCCGTTGCGTACATGGATGGGCCGGCTCCGATGCCCATGTTGGTCATGTCGCCCATACTTTCGAGGATGGCTGAGGAACGCTTGGAACTTGCTTTCTCCAACTCAGGCGTGCCAACTAGAACAGAACGGCGGAGTTCACGGACATAGTGGCGACATAGTGACATGTGCTGAGCGACATCAAGCCTGCCGCTGGGTCAGTATTTCATCTCAGGAAGGCAATCGTAGGTCTCGACGAACCAGAAGTCAAGGTAATCAACGGATCGTTGTTGATCACGCATGTAGATGTAGAACGAAAAGAGGTCGACGGGCGGCAGAGTACGACGGCTGAGCACCTCGAAGAGAGTCGGAAGCCTATTCCGGCCATAGTCGGGCTGTGGTGATGGCGTCGCCATTGCCGGGTCGGGATGTGTGTCTTCCATGATGATTGAGGATGCTTAAGCTGCGGCGATGGTCGTTCGAGCGTGTGTGCTTCACGTACGCTGAAGAGCGAAAGTCGAAGGTCGGTTCAGGAGGCGCGGTAGAGGTGGTAGTGGTGAAGAGAATGCTCTGAGCGATTGATGAGATCACGATGGGCAAAAACGGTTGTTTCCTGGCGGACCAACCCCCCTGTGCGACGCGAACTCGTATCGGCCAATTCCTCCTGGTCTATCGACTATCGTGATCGTTTTGAAAGAGTGGAAGTGTTGCGAATGCGCTCAGCGCAAATGGAAGGCGTCTTCGTTGAGGTTGTGGTTGAAGGTAGTCGCAGGAATGTGACGATGCAGGCCATGGAAACGGCAACAACAGCAGATCACTCGCCTAGTCGTTGTCGCCAGGCAGACTGAGACGAGATGGATTGCTGAGTCTGGCGCCTGCGGTTGGGGGGTGGGACCCAGCGTCGGTACGTACTGGGCCCTGTCATACCCCTTGTCGGCATCGCTCATCTGAGCAGAGTGGGGGCATGCTATGTCGATTGATGCGCCGAGTCACGTGCAACCACCCACCGCAGTCCGGCCCGCAAGTGGACAATTTGATTGGCTCGCTAGGGCTTTTTTGCTCCTGCACACAGGATTTTGTTCGGTTTTCCACTTTGCCAGAATTCAGACTCCAGACCTGGACCTTCGCCAGCCCAACGCCCAACTTCCTCGACAAGCCCCGAACCAGCGACAACCACGAGGAATCGTCCAAGATGTCGACCAAGCAGAAGAAGACCGGCGGCAAGCAGCGCTCCGCCATCGCGGACGTTGTCGCTCGCGAGTACACCATCCACATGCACAAGCGCGTTAGTAGTCACCACCGCCACCAAACCGCACAACTCCATGACGGGACCGCCGACGATGGCTTGAGGAGGTCTTGGGACGAGGAGACTATTTCAGTGCGCAATTAGAGCCCAATGCTGACATTTGGTTTTCCACAGCTCCACGGTGAGACCTTCAAGAAGCGTGCTCCCCAGGCCATCAAGCAGATCAAGCTCTTCGCCGCCAAGTCCATGGTACGTGCCAACTATCCCACGCCTACGACTGCCTCCGGCCCGAAGCACAAAAAGAAAGAAAGGGTTGGAGGCAGAAGTGGACGACAAGGAACCAACTCGGTTATTTGGCCCGCCGAAAAACTAACATGTCACGCAGGGCACCACCGATGTCCGCCTCGACCCCCAACTGAACAAGAAGGTCTGGGAGCAGGGTATCAAGGGCGTTCCTTACAGGCTCCGCGTCCGCATCTCGCGCAGGCGAAACGACGAGGACGGCGCCAAGGAGAAGCTCTACAGCTACGTGCAGGCTGTCAACGTCAAGAACCCCAAGGGTCTCCCGACGGTTGTCGTCGAGGAGTAAAGTTTTCCTCTCTATGGCAATGGTTCAAACAAGGGCGGCATCGGCATTAAGGAGTTGTATGGGTCTTTAGCTTTTCCCACCACCACGATTACTTCAGAGGAAATGCGAGAGAGGCTTGATTCCCCGACGAATCCGAACGAAAATCCTTCTTCTACCGTCCACAACCAGGCAATTCGATGACTGGCCCTTATGCGTTCGACGACCGATATGATGAACTCGGGGTTAAAAGTGAAATGACATGCGGGGTCAAAAATCTAGACGATGTGGAACAGGTGAATTTGGGTAGCGATGGTAGGGGTGTTGGTCGGTCGGACATTTGATCGATGGTGTTACAGTTGCTCAGTAGCTTTGCTACCGACTATGCGCCTGCCCTTGCGCGAACAGATTCGTTGCTTCGCCATTCCTCCAAGCGCCTCCTCGCCCATACCCATGTCACATGCAGTGCTATGCCAGTCCAATGCTTTGAAACCGCAACGCAGTTCCAAACAAGCCATTATTTCATTCATGCGATACAAAGAAGACTCCCACCTTGCTGTGCTCGGGTATAATGCCTTCCCTCTCGTTTCAAAAACAAACAACACCTACTCATCCTCGACGTCACGGTGACGGGCCAGGACCTTGCGCTTGAACTCCTCCATGTCCTTGTCCCACAGTTCGGCTGCCTCGCCGTTGAGAGGGGAAGAGCTGATGGTGTCAGTGCATTTTCATCCAAGTTTCGTAGCATGGTAAGGCTCACTTATTGGGCTCACCCAGCAAGCTTTGCAAGCTGAGGAGGACGGTCTGGATGTTGTATGCAGCGGTCCACTTGTCTTTGAGGATGTCGAGGCAGATTCGACCGGAGAAGTCAAAGTTGGGGTGGTAGATGGGGGTCTTGAAGAGGACGGTAGGCGCAGCGTAGGGATAGTTGTTGGGAAAGGCGAGGCTCAGCTTGAGGGTGAGGCCAGCGTAGGGGGTGCCATCGGGTCCCTCAATGGTAGCCGTCCAGCTCATGAGGTTGCCGTCGGCTGACGGGAAAGCGGACACGCCAGGCGCGGGCGAGGTCATAAGCTGCATCAGCTCCGTCTGCAACCTGTGACAGAGATAATTAGATTAGCACAAGATCCAGCGTCGACAAGCGTAAAGCCTAGGGCCAAGGAGCGTCAGGGCGTTAGTGGTCCTGCCGCCCTTTCTCGAAGCTACATACCTCTTGGTGACGCTGCCCGCATCGGGGCCTTTGCGGGCTGTGCTAAGCTTGGTCTGCTGGATACTGCCAGGAGCGGCGTTTTGGCTGTCTTCTGCTGCAAAATCCATGGCTGCGGTGGTGTGAAAGAGTTGGTGCGTATGGATAGTGTGACCTTGTATGCAACAGCTGGTGGTGGTGTTTCGAAGACGCGGGTGGACAAAGACAGGAGGATAAGACCAGGTTCGTGCCTGGGGAAGAGGGGCAATGGGCGTTGTAGGCGAATGTAGAGGTCTCTGAATGGCGGGTGTTTGCGTAGGAAGAATGGGGAAGCAGAGATTGGAAGTCAGAGATACTACTGAGCGTGTTGTAGTTTGGTCAGCCAGTGCTGGTGGAATCAGGTCAGAAAGGGAGCTGCTGAGGCGCTGAGGCTCGGTGGGCTTGGCGAGGCCTTGTTTACTGCAACCGGCAGTCACCCGCCCGGGGCAACCGCGATTGGGGCCTCTGCCAGCCAATGGATACGCTAAGACGCGTGAGGCGGGGTTGTTTCGAATTGGTCTGCGAATGCCCAAACACCACTCGTGCAACCTCTTTACACGGTCAGGACGCGGTTCTGTGTACCACTTTGAATGCCGCCAGCATGGTGAGTGGCTTTTTTATTTTTGTTTACTTGCACGCACCTTCCTCTCTCCTGAATCATATCGCCAGCCAGACATGCAGCCCAGGCAGCGACGGGACATGGACTGTGCCAAACAGCCTATCAGACATCCTTGGCCTCCACTTTTGAGCCCCCGTTGATGATGCGCAAGTTAGCTAGCTACCTTCCTCAGGTACCTAGGTACTTACCTGAAGGCAGTCACCAGTGCACTCACCGTCTCAACACCATCCCACTTGCTTGATCGAAATGTCGTGTGCCTAGGATCATCAAAAATAACCATCTCGAGGCGACGAGCCTGGCAATCGACTAATGCACAATGGCTCAGTCCCAATTAGACCCTCTCCCCAATAACCTACCCTTCAGGATCGTGTCCAAAACTATTGGACGGGGAGCCTATGCATCGTGCGTCTTGTCTCCGCCTTCTGGCTCTCATTGTAACGCAACAGAGATCTAATATTGAATAGCATCAAAAAGGCCATACCCCTCGATACAACGTCGCCAGTCTTTGCTGTCAAGCTCATCCACAAGGACTATGCTGTCCGCCAAGGCCGCGTTTCTGCCAAGCAGATGCTGATGGAGGTCTCCCTTCACTCTCATGTTGGCCAGCACGCCAACATCATAGAGTGGTTCGCCACAGGAGAAGACCACATCTGGCGATGGATCGCCATGGAATTCGCCGAGGGCGGAGACTTGTTCGACAAGATTGAGGCCGATGTTGGTGTCTCTGAGGACATCGCACACATCTACTTCCTCCAGCTCGTCAGCGGCGTGAGCTTCATGCACTCCAAAGGCGTCGCCCACCGAGACCTGAAGCCAGAGAACATTCTCCTCTCCGAAACGGGTAATCTCAAGCTCGCCGACTTCGGCATGGCAACCATGTTTGAGTACAAGGGGCAGCGCAAGACCAGCTCGGCCCTGTGCGGAAGCCCTCCTTACATTGCTCCGGAGATTCTTGCCTGTGGGCGCTCCGATAAGAACGGAAAAGCAACAGCCAAGTACTCGCCAGATCTCGTAGACATTTGGTCGTGCGGTGTGATCCTCTTCGTTTTGTTGGTGGGCAACACTCCATGGGATGAGCCATCCAAGGGCAGCTGGGAGTATCAAGAGTACCTCCGAACCAAGGGTCGTAGCACAGATGCCCTTTGGGATCGACTCCCTGCTGAGGCGCTTTCACTCCTCCGCGGAATGATGAGCGTCGACCCCGCAAGCCGATTTTCCTTCAGCAAAATACGTCAGCACCCTTGGTATACGAGAAACAACACGTTGATGACCGTGGACGGCAAGGTCGCTGACCCGCTCACTTTGGCCACCCAAATGCTGCAGAACCTACGCATCGATTTCAGCCAGCAGCCCTCCCAGCAGCTCTCATCAACCGCGGCCGACGCCATGGACATTGACGGCTCAGGTGTACCAAATAATATTTCGTCTACCCAACCCGAAACACACATTACCGACATAGACTGGGACTATGAACGCCCTGCCCTGCGTTCCATTGGCTCCATGGCCATCTCGTCGACACAGCCAGCGTTGCGTAGTGACACCAGCACCTTCACCAAGCCACACGGCCGTAGCCAGGTGTTAGACCATCTCGTTGATGAGCCCACAATGAGCCAATTCTCGCAGAACCCCGGCCTCCCCTTGACCCTGACCCAGGCCGCGCGCCAGTTCCGCGACATTGTACCAGCCGAGTCTCTGACGCGCTTCTTCTCCCACATGTCGCCGCAGCTCCTCCTGCAAGTGCTCGGCGATGCCCTCCATCAACTTGGCGTTCCCTCGCCTCCCGTGACGCCAAGCTTGTACGCAGAACACGTCGCCACCGTCCGCGTCCGCACCATGGACGGTCGCAAGCAGAGCCTTCACGGCGAAATTCAGGTCGACCGTCACCAGCTGCCGGACGATCAGGAACTTCTGGATGTACGGTTCGTCAAAATCAAGGGCGACCCTCTCGAGTGGCGTCGGTTCTTCAAAAAGGTGGTCGTACTATGCAAGGATGTTGTCTACGTCCCGGACGCATAGAAGAGGGACCTGTTGAAATGAGGCCCCAGGGTCTTCTTGCAGTCTTCTTCATAGGCGGATCTTTGGGGGCCCGTTTTTAGAATTAGAACTTCAATGGAACTTCACGACAGGAAGGATACCCGAAGAATTAAAGAATCAGTGGATTAACGAACCTTCCCTTTCAATCGTATCACCGCTCCCATACAGTGATCTGACGAATGGGCTGCCATAATTGTGGTAGCTCAAACATTGTCATCCTCGCGGTCAGTCCCTGCCCTTCCATCAATGCAGCAGCAGAGGAAGAAGGCCTACCGATCAGCCGGATCCTCAAATGCCCTGCTGTGTGGTGGCTGTCCATACATGCGGCGTATAGAGCGTGGGGAGCGTGAAGACGAAGGGGATCTGCCTTGTTGCTGGCTTTGTGAACCACCTTGTTCGAGACCTTCAGGTGCTGCGCCGGTCGCAGCCCCGGCCGTCTGCCTCGAGAGAGTCGCACGTGCCGGACGAGCCAGCGGGGGGAAATGTTCTGGCCCGTGTATTCCTATCCAGGGCCGCCGGGAGGGGGACGTCTTCCGGCCTCTGTCCTGGCGTGCCCCGACTTCCTCGTCGCGACCGGCAGTTGCATGTTGAGCCAATCGAGCAAGGGGAGTGTGCTGGGCCCACGAGTTGCCGAAAGGATCGACTACAGTGGTACTCGACTGCATGGAACGAGATGACGGCCTCTGGCTGGCACGGCCAGGTCGTCGGGCGAAGCCACTAGGCCATGGCCGGCTTGGCATCGAGCTGTCATCAGAATCGTCTTCCGTCGCTGTTTGATTGAGCATCTGCATGAGTCGGCGAGCCTCTTGAGGCCTCCACGTGGATCTCAGCTGCGCTTGGTCGCCTCTGGTGCGTCTGGACGGGCTCAAAGTTCCATGGAGTATCGAGACGAAGGTCTCCATGGTCCGGCTCTGTACTACTTGTCGGTATTCGCTCGCTCTGTTGTCTCGTCTTCCTGTCCCTGGTGATATGACTACGGCGCTCCCGTGCTGGAACGCGCAGTCCCTGGTGGTCGCCGTATCGTGGACATTGGTGCGTGAAACGGAACGGCTCTCCGCAAAGGAAGCAGAATTCGGCCGCCGCAGCGGCATCTGCAATGTTACAATCAGTCTCCACTTCATCGTTGAATCAACAGAAATGTCCCCAGACGTTCAACTTCATAATGAAACCACCGGACGAAGAGCAGCCAGAGTGAACGTACGTTACGTGGTTGCAGCCGGCGGTCAGCTCGATGATCCGACTACACTGCGGGCAACTCGACCACCCCTTCTCATCCATGAGATCCTTGAGCATCTCATCCTCCGCCTCGGCGGTGCAGGGCCGCCCTGGATGTGAGACTCGGCGGCAGGCACGGCATGTGTTCTCGCCACAGACCAGGCATGTGGCGTCTGTTTGCTCAGTGAGCCTCGCCGGGATGAATTCGCCGCAACCCGGGCGAGCACAATGAACCTGCTCGCCGACGGGTGTCTCGTTCTGCTGTTGGGCCTGCAGCCAGAGGCACAACACGTCGGGCATGTCCAGCCAAGCGATCGTCGACGTGGCGAGCGGGTCGCAGCATTTGGGCGGCCAGGCGGCGCCGGGACCCAGACCGCTGGCGAGGTGTCGGCAGAGACACTTCTTGCACCAGACGTGACCGCACGGCAGCTTGATTTGTTTCTCGGGCTCCATGACCTCGAGGCAGATGGAGCACAATCTATCCGTATCACACCCTCTCCCATCGTCAGCTTCGTCAACAGAGCCGGCTTCGGCCTCTAGATGGGCTAGTATTCTCTTCCTCTCCGCTTCACCGATCCAGGCGGGCTGTTCCGCACCCTTTTTCGTGGCAGGAGGCATGATAGTTGGGGCAGAGGTTGAAGCAGAAGCAACCACTTGACCCTGCACGCTCCTCATTATGGCAATGTTGATCTGCTCATCGCCAGCGAGTCCGAGAGCCGTGTCTATGGCATGGGAGACTTCGTATTGCGTGCCGGGGTTGTTGAGGTTGATGAGTCCAGACCTGAGCACAATTGCCAGGACCTCCTCGTCGAGGTCCTCCAGCCGACTCATGCTGGGTTGGGCGTGGTTTTTTATTTTATTTTTTACCTGCTCTCCGTTTTGCTATGTCTGGTGCTCTTCTTTGCAATGCTTGGATCTGTTGTCAGAGTCAGTGTGTTTCGATGGTACTTATTCTTGTCTCTGTCTCTTGTTTCAGGAAGGCTTTCCCTTTACAGACATACCGCTGTGTATCACGGCCGAGACTGTGAATAACGGAGATCGCTGCATCAACCGAGAGTTCCAAGTTAGCTGTGACGCCAGAAATGCGTGCCAAGAACCAGAGCAGCAGCCAGGAAGAATCCGCAGGGAGAGAGCACAGCGTCGAAGAAAAGAACAGTGCCGGTCTGGAACGAAGCCAAGGCAGCGTTCGGAACCGTATGGAAGCCCCCAGGCCTATACTCTGCGGCCCTTCGTGGAAAGAAAAAGCCATACAACTATTCATGATCACATGTGTGGCGCCGCGGCGACGACCCAGCACGCACTGTTGATTGAATGACTAGTAAGGTGGATGACTAGGAAGGGCAAAGGTGATGAGGTCGCGGGCCGATCGCAGTCATCTCTTACTACGCACACAAGTCATAAAGACGGCAAGACGTGGTCGATGGCGAACAACAGACAAGGTTCTAAGTGATACTCTCGATTGCATGGAGAAAGATGCAGGATGTGTTCACAGCGCTACGGCCGGATCTTCACCGTCGTCGATTTCTTTTTGTGAAGGGTCTGCCCGCTCACGGATAATTTCAAAAGACAACGATGATGAGGTTTTAAGGGCATCCAAGACTAGAAACCCCGGCTTCCTAGAATTCGTGTGCGTCATGTACAGATGGCCTGGAGAACCCTCACGATTTGACGCATGTTGTCAAGGATAACTATCTTGGCCCGCACAATAGAAAGGTGCGTGGCCTGACAAGGAGAGACCAGGAGACAAACAACCTCGTCGCTAGAGACTACCACGCAGATTTCCCCATGTAAACCCTTTGTACGATCCACCATGGTAGTCAAAGATCCACGAACCAGTCATATATCACTCGCGGCACTTGCCCTTCATCACCATTTCATTTATATGATCGAACGATCTCATTGTGCGAAACTATGCAAGCTGCCAAACGGCCCCTTTCGGTGTGCTGAATGCAGCCTGATTACTCCACGCCGTGCCCGGACGGCATGCTGGGAAACAACCCCTCCCCACCATAGGCCTGTTAGTTTACAGACATCCCTTTTCGAGCCTGTAAGAGACATGATGGACTTTCCGCGCCGAGCACGTATCGAGTATGTAGTACGCACGCCGTTGATAAAATGAATTGCCCAAACATGTTCCGGTCAAGTCCTCCGTCCTCGAGGCCCGACCTCCAACCCATCCCGTGCCGGCCGTTCCCTTACCTTTGAACTCCGTTACTTCGTTAACTCCGTCGCTGGTAGCTGATATTCGGTATATGGTATAATACGAGAAAAGAGAAAAGAACGAAGGTGATCCTAATGACAACAGCGATTCATGCTTTGGGGTATAGATCAATAACTAAAATCAACGTTGCCCAACTGTGGTTGTGTTTTGTTTTCTGACGTCGACGATGACGTGCTCCCAGAAACCCCTGTCCCTGGTGCTGATGGCGCATTAGAGCTCGACTGAGTTGTTGACGCCGATGACGTCTGTTGTAGTTCGTGTTCGGGGTGAGGCGGCACCCCACTATCAGACCAGCCTTCTGTGAGCAGCTGTTGGAAGGCTCCAGCTGGGCTCGAATCGCGTGCTGTTCCAAGCGTAGTCGATGCGTTCGTACATCTCGTCAATCTGCTCGAGACTGACCTTGCTGGTCTCGTATACCATGCACCATACGAATAATAATGCGATGATGCAGAAGGCGCCCCAGAGGAAGAAGATTTTGGGCCCAATGTTGTCGGATCCAGGCTCATCCGTGACCATGAACGGCGTTCCATAGGCAATGGCAAAGTTCAGTAGCCAGTTGGCAAAGGTGGATACGGACATGGCCTTGGCACGGATCTTCAGGGGGTAAATTTCGGAAGTGACAACCCACGTCACCGGACCCCAGGAGGCCGCGAAGAAGAATATGTTGATGGCGCAGAAGACGATGAGGATGATCTGCGAAGCCTGCCGGAGATGGGCTCCTGCTGCTGCCGAGAAAGAGGCGATCAACAGCTGGCAGATGGCCATACCAATAGCGCCTACAATGAGGAGCTTGCGGCGGCCCCACGTCTCGATGACCAATAGGCCCGGGATGGTGGAGCAGACGTTGATGATGTGAAGGATGAGGGACTTGAGGTAGGGGTCATCGACATTGACACCGTCAAAGAAGGTGGTGCTGTAGTACATGATAAAGTTGATACCGGTGAGTTGCTGCAGCATCTGCAGTCCGCAGCCGGTCAGAGTACGTCGTCCGAGGTGCGGGTGGCCGGTAAAGAGCTCGAGGTATGAGTCGGGGCCCAAAGTGAGTTCATATTCGTGGTTGGCCACGATCTCGCGTAATTCGTCCTGGAGGGCCGGATGAGTGATGTCGAGACGGCGAAGTCGACTGAGCGAGAGGCCTGCCGCCTCTTGCTTGCCAGACTTAACCAGATAACGTGGAGTCTCGGGGAGAACGAGAAGACCGGCAGCCAGTACGACAGCCCATACAAGCTGGATGCCCAGTGGTATGCGATAGGCGGCAGGTGATTGCATGTGTTGGGTTAACATGTTCACGCTCGAGGCCCAAAGCAAACCCAAGGTAATGGAGAATTGATAGGCGCAGACGAGTGTTCCACGTATCCATTTTGGAGCCATTTCAGACTGGTAAAGGGGGACGAGGACCGAAATGGCGCCTACTCCCACACCTGCAAAGAACCTGCGTCCGGTCAGCCCCCAAGTATGACAAATCTCGCGGCTCAGGGCCAGCCGCAGATGATGCTTACCTTCCGACAAGAAGCATGTCGATATTATGCGCGCAGACTTGGAAGATACCGCCAAAGGAGAAGACGCCGACGGATACAAGCAAGGACATGCGACGGCCGATGGTGTCGCCTGCCGGCGCAGACAGTAGTGCACCGAGGGCCGTGCCCGCGCTGAGGATGGCGACGATGATGGAGGACTGAGCGGCCGTGATGATATATCGTCCGTCGGCTCCTTGAGGCACAGTGGTGAAGTCTCGTCGGAAAGCCTCCATGGCGAGAATGCCGTTTATCGTGCTACATGATGGCGAAGCACGAGTTAGTCGAGTGTTCCTTCGTCATGACATTTTGATGGTTTGTAGTCGCAGTGATCGTGCGTTCCCTCGGTCGGCCGATCGTGGCTGGTGCGTGCTTACCCTGTATCA